GAGCAGGGACAGGCCAGTTTTTATTGAACTGAATAGCAGTAGTTAAAAGTAACTTTAACACATAGTCATCTTTACTGCAGTGGGGGAAAGATAAATCATTATTAACACCACTCTGGAGTTTGTTATGAACAAATTAAAACCATGAGTTTAATGAATCAGCTTCTAAAAGCAGTTTACGTAAACTTTGTGAACGTGAGTGACACATTAAAAACAAATTAGATTTATCTTAACTGGACAATTTATATCCTTTACCCACTATCTACCTCTTTAAGAACAGTACCTATAAACAATAATCACACTCAATTTAAATTAGGCGGAAAGTATGTTGTATTTATTAACAGAAACAACCCTGCAATTTAGAGTTCTGCTGAGTAGACAAAATACAAGCAGTTTGAAAAATATTAACCATAAATGAAAAAACTTCTCAAACATAAAAACTCAAAACAGGTTTTCAGATAAATAGCAGTAGATACTTCCATGCTATCTATGATAATATATTACAAAAGTTATGTTTCCTACTAGCTTTTCCATAACCTCATTCTACAGGGGGCAAAACAGAGTTAATTCTCATCCTATTTTAGAAAGAAATATTTTTTCCTTTCTATTTCATAAGCAAATTATTTTCCTAATTCACTTACCTTCACTCCATAGCATCATCATTTGCCAAATTGTTTTACTTCCATAATCAATAATATTCCACACATTTATGAACAAGACTCAATAATATTCAAAACAGATTTATGAACAAGACTCTCTCGATCTCTCAGAGATTTACACCAATTTGAAATGCACATTTCCCAAGAGTAAGCTGACACTGGATATACAAAGAAATTACTTACTTTTTCAACATGTTAAGCTGATCTTGAAACCTATTCAAAACAGTGATGCTCAAAGAATCTGGATTTTTTTTTTTTTAGTTTATTGTTCATAAGTGTTTTGAGGCAGTGGGTAAGTTTATGTTGATTCTTCTTATCAATGCTTTCTTGCCTTGAAAGGGAGGAGGAAATAAGATGAGTGTAATCCATCTTCACAAGCTCCCCCTCCCTCTTTTCAAATGATTCGAGTCCTTACTGTTTCCTGCCCAGGAGCCTTTCCAGTATACCCAATAAAAGTCCCAAACCTTCCTGTCCAAAATTGTTAAGCCAGCTGTAAAAGGGGAGAAAAATGTTTTTAATTATCTTTTAATCAAATGTAAAACTTCCAAAATTATGTCTCCAATAGTGCTAATGCATCACTTTAGAGATGCTGCTTTAAATGCCACTTTCCAGGAAGACCTAATCAACTGCTAAGACAAATATTTAGCCTCAACAACTAGATGGTTTTTGAGCACCTAGAGCAAAGGCAAAAAAAAATGTCTAATTTGTTGTGAGGCAAGTGTTGATACTTTAGATAAAGGTAAGTGAATTCATGTCTGAAGTGTTTGCTGACAATAAAGCACTTAATTTAAGCATACTGCAGCCCTTTTTAACAGTTAAGTACAACGCCAGCACCAAACACCTACAGGAAGGCAAAAAAAGTCTAATGTGAAAGGACAAGGTGCAGCAGGAGGGGCAGCAGAAAGATAAAGATGTTCCTTTGAATTACAAAAGGACAAACACAATGCCCTTCATTTTTCAACTATTTCAGGTTATTTGATACATAATTTGATGCACTTGATAGGTTCATATAACATCAACAAAAGGAAAGAGCGTTGTCCTACAGTTATTAGGCCTACAGACTGCGGTGAGCAAATGATTCAACCACCACGTAGCTAACAGTTAACCAAAAGTTTCCTAATTTAGAAATAATTTGCAAAGTGAGGGCAAAGATCAGTAAATGAGGTAATAGGTGAAATGTGACAGAAGATCCAAAGTGCCTGAACTTCACTGTAATATATAATTACCTTTCCATATGAATTACATATACATTTAATGTTAGCTTTTCCAAAAACAAATGAATATATTTCAGTAAGACATCACTGAAACAGTCTAAGAATTTTCCTCTGAAAATACTTAAGCAGGTCTCAGCACCAAAGCGCCTCTCAAGTCCCAATGAAAGTTGTGCCGCGAGATGTCCTTTGGCAAGATTTGGCCTAACAGGGATATTGTATACACGCAAGAAATGATCGCACCATTTTGCTCCACAAAAGCTATGATTTCTTCCCACTTCTGCTTCCCTAAACAGTCTGCTTTTGCAGAATGAAACCGCGAGACCATTTCTATTTTCTACAACGTACTAAGGCTGTATCTAAACAGAAAAGTCCACTAACATTGCTTTGTGTGCATGAGTTGACCATGCAAGGAGGTAGTCCCATGGAGAAACACAACTGCTGATGAAGACACTGAAACTGGCACATGAACGCATTATTTAGCCGAAGCTAATAAGCTGTGCTGAAAAATAAGGGTAAATTAACTTGGGCACAGCAGTACGCCAACACAGCAGTAGTGCTGCGAGCAGCTCCGCGACTGGTTGAAAAACACGACATCGGAACAGCACTACTTTGTGCTGCATGCACTTGCCAAAAGCCAGTACTTCAGAAAGAAGTTCCTTCAATGACACTTTTGTCCACGTGACTGATCTCTCTGCCAAGTGAGTACTGAACACGGTCACCTCTGTGTAGTACCTACTTTCTTCAGTTTTGAAAGTGGAAATTATGCGTGGCAAGAGGCTCCCCTGAAGTGCTTGACTTTCTGCCGAGGCTGCATTTACGGAAAAGGCCAGAAGTTTTTTCCTTGGACAGGAAAAAAAAGCTGTCCTGAAAAGCTTTAGTGTAAGCCACCAACATTCACATGGAAGATTAGAGAGCAAGTGCCTGCACAGGTACTTTAGGGATAAACGGATAAAAGGTTTTGGCAAACATGATGTAAAGCTAGTCTTTGGCTTCTTAAGAAGGTTTACAAAAACAGAGAGAAAGCAGACTATGTTGAAGTCCCTCACAGTATTTTACAGAGAGTAGTAGGCACTTGCCAGGGACTTACTCACCACTTTACGATCACTCTATTAGCTGGATTTCCTCTTTATTTGTGATTTTGGGTTCAATGGATTCAGGAAGAACAGAGAAGGCTGCCTTTTTGAATGAGGCTAGGATGATCAACGCGTGCCAGAGGCATCTGTGGTTCACGAAGGCGAGAGCCGTTCTGCTGGTCTTGGAAGCCCTCGGTTGGATTTCCACGCAATAGACCCAAAAGGGGGGACAGAGGCGCTGGGATTTGCTGTGTTTGTTTGGAGTGGGGGCGGGGGGGGCTGCTCCCCCCCAGCACTTAGCACAGAAAAACCCTGACCTCCAGCAACGTTTCCTGGTTATTATTCCTAGAATTAGGACAAGACAGAAATATTGCGCAAAGCCATACGCGAGCGCTTCAGAGAGATCAAATTCACATGCACACCCTGCGTAAGGACAGCTGAACTCTTCGGGATGGAAGATGAGGAATTTTGTATTAAAAACAGAGCCATCTTTATTTACTGGGCAGAGGCAAGCTATTAAGGAGAAATTCAAAGGTACTTAGAATTATAATCGAAGAAGCAGCAAAAACAGGTTTTCTTGACGGTACAGTCATTATCAGTGTCACTTCAGCTACACTTGAATTCTGGTGTATAATTGTGTGCTACAGTCTCAGAAATTGCCCCGTTGAGATGTGGACCTTATGAATGAAAACAAATAACTAAGAAATGAAGCTAAACTGCTGACATGAAGCTAAAGCTAATATCTTGTTGTAAATGGAGCATCCTGGTAAACATTTCTGGGCTTGAAATTCATTAAGATAGAGCTTGTAGTACTTCAGGTGGACAATACATTCGCAACATAAATGTACCTTTACGAGCCTTCACTTGGTTTATAGGGCATTAAAAACAAAACACAACGATGCTACAACTGCTCTCACAAATGAAAAATTTATATATAAGAAACCCCAAGAAGTCCACTCAAAGTTACTTACAGAACACATACAAATGCATGCTTGAGGATGTCGGGTTTATGCTAGCAATCTGCTCACATACCTGTTAAGTTTACAACAGTTCCAGATATTCCCCGAAACCTTTGCGAGGAAAGATAATTTTAGAAGTAATACAATTTCACTCAAGTCCTCAGAAAGCCTCACTTAATCTCTTATTAGGGATTCAGAGTTTGGCTTGGTGTCGTGCCATTTTTTTCTATTTCACCCTGGGACGTTTCACACAAACAAAAAAATACTTTTATTGAGAAGGACAAATCAACATTCCTTAAAGTACACTTTAAGGTACGAGGCTGGAAATTCACGCCAGACCCTAGCCCCAGCTCACACCAAACATGCACTGACCTTTCTTCGCTTTGTTTGAGCAGTGAGGGCTTTCTCACACGACTGTGAAACACCAAGCCAAAATCTGCTGTTACCCTGTGCTCAGTTCAAAGCGCTCGTCTTCAGCAGCTTGGTATCGGATTTGCACTCGTTCAGTAGAACGGACTCTGTCCTTGACGTAAGCAGGGCTCTACAAAAGAGCACTGCGCTTCCCAGCGGCAATGGGCAAGCTGAACCTGACAGAGAAGAGAAACATCGAGAGAAACTAAAAAGTGTTTCAAATTCAGAATTAACGGTCAAGGATTTGCAGAGGGATACCTTTTAAAAAAAAAAAAAAAGTTATGCAATGTATTTAAGTGAACTAGATTAAATTTAGTCAAGCTTGTTTCTAATGGTCCTTGAATTCTGCAAACTCGCATCTGCTCCAGGAACACCGGCCTTTCTAAAGACGATTGTTCTCCTGCTGGAGGCTATGATCAGAATATTTTAGATGGTCCTGTATTTCCTCATTTGCTATTTAATTTCTTCAAAGGTCTAGATATTGCTTTTAGAAGTCTGGATATTGAAGCTTCAAATATACCTCAGTTAGTACTGAAGTGCACAACATATTGAATTACTACATTTCTTTTAAAATGTGAATTCTCTTACCAGCTGCAGCACATCCAAGTTTTTCCACAAATTGCATGTGACAAGTTTGGTCATCATCTTGAACACATTATTAAAGCTAAAAACTCCAGAAGACCCATGTACCAACTTGATTTTATTTCTGAATGTCAGTCAATTCACAGCATGGAAGAAATGCACCGTGTTTTGAAGGAATTACAATGCACAGGATCTCCGAAATGGTAACACCCGAGAGGAGGTTAGCTGAGATTTCCCCCAAGGTATAACAGGTTCTTGTTAAGCAATATTTTATGGAGGGCAGCTCTGAAAGAAGTGTCATTTTCATATAGGGCAACTCAAAGCCTGCCAGACAGACAGAAGGAACTAACAAACACTTACAGAGTGGCAAAACACTTAATTTATAGGATAGTGTTATAGAGCCGTGGTAGGACATACGGGGAGGTGAGAATTTTTAGAACAGAGGACCTCAACCTGGAGAATCACAACCCAGATACACAGAGATCCCCAGGTATTCAGCTTCCATTAATATCAAATATTTCTGTGGAAATGGCCGTACATTTAAATGACAAGATACTGGTAGGAACTGAGTTTTAACCCAATAAATCTGTTGCTGATGACCTTGGTCTATCTTCATACAGACGTACAACTGAAGTGTAATGCAAACTTCTTGGAATTAACAGGCTTTGGAACAAGTATTTAGATACCAAACCCAACTAACTCTACTGCTTCCTAGCATCCAGCCACTGTAACAATTCTTCCTTGTTAACGAGGACAAGGAAGTGTTTAGTCTCTCAAAACAACAAAAAGAAATAATAGAAAACTAATCTTGCTGGTGTGCCAGCTGAGACTACTACCCATAGAACAGATGCAAGTGTCCCGTCATCATTCCTCATTATAGTGATCTTCAGTGCAATCCCCCAATATTTAGTATTTCCATTCAAGAGTAGATTAAAACAAAGATTAAACCCGTGTGCAGGGGAAAAAAAAAAAAAATCAAACTAGATTCCCAGAGTCTCACAAAATTTCATAGAAGTGATACAGATTATTAGTAAACTGAATCAACATGTTTGCTTCAGAATCTGATTGAGGAAAAAAATTAGTTTTTCCTACCATTTACTTAACAATGCGCTGCTCCATAAAACCCTTTGACTATAACAACAAAGGAAAGTAGTTCATAAGTTTACACATTTGGTTCATTATTTCATCTGTATTACAATGCAATCCCTCTTTTCTGAAGTTCTTGAAATTTATTATTCTATTAACGCCACAGACCAATGATCACAGTTAATAGAAAAAGTCTTCATATTAAACAAAAAAAAGTCCAAAAAGACCTACTGAGAAACTTTTTGAAACAGATAAAATATTGCTTCGGACAAGATGAACACAGTATTCATTCCACAAGATTTGTAATTGTGGGAACAATTTAAAAAAAAAAAAAAATCAGAGCTTCTTTCAGTTTAGTCTTAAGCTTAAGTTTAGGCTGAATAAATAGATGTTTCCAAAGTATTTTACCATCTTCAAAATGAAAGTCTCTGGTTTTGAGCCACACATGGATGTATGACAGCTCCAACCCTGGACCACTTCCATTTAAAGCGTAAGAGGACACCAGTCTCCTTCACTGGTGGTTTTCTTATCCAGCCTTCCAAGCAGAAAGCCAGGATTTACAGAATCCATTCTAAGGAGGCCAGAACTGGCCCATGGAAGAAATCACCAAAGGAACTAGCTTTCCTCTCAGCTGTGTCCTCTCCCAAGTCCTGCTGTCCTAACTGGGAATTACTCGCTCAGATGAATCCAGAAAACTGTCTGACTACCCCTACCTGTCTCTCCTTTTTATATTTACTCCAAGGACACACTTGTATGGTCAAGCCATTCCCATAAAGAGCTCTTAACTATAGTAGGAGGTGGTCAACCTTGTTACAGAATAGGCTGCAGGTATTCAGCACTGGCTGATTTGACTCTCTGTGGAATTCATATTTTAATGAAAATAATGTACCAATGTTGAGAGAACTTCTGAAAATTGCACTACTACAATCCATCAGGGATACGCTAACTTGCTTAGATATGGTCAGTAGTACTGTTGTCACCGCATGGAGCTCAGATTAGCTGCCTAAGCATTTGGACATCTTCTAGAGAGAGGAGGAGTTGGCAGTCCCTGCTCAGCTCCACGCTGCTAAAGCTACAGGGCGAGCAGCACCCAAAGTAGCTGAAGGTCTCTATGGCACAGGAACAGTGGAGAGCGGTACTTGGACATCAGGACTCCTCCTGGGCACCCCAGTGAAACCCTGCATTGTGCAAAGGGCACTAAAATGGAAGGACCAGGAGACTGTAACCCCTTTCATTAAAACGAGGGTGAGTTCAGAACGCTGCTTTCTGATCAGAGGGACCTAACGCGGTGTCATTCCCCACTGTACCACAACACTGGTGACCCAAGAGCTCTGTGCTTTCCGGCTAACTACAGGATTGTATTTCTGCTTTTGTATTAACTAGTCCCTGTCTGTAGCAGAAAATACCTGTAGTAATTTACTTAAAAAATTGTTTAAAAAAAAAAATTCAAGTCAAGTAAGTTCCAGTATTCAACCCACAGGTGTATTGCCAACTAATTAATGCCCATGCCGAGGGGAATACATTCTTCTATCAATAAAAATACGTTCAGCAAAATAACACTCATCCTGCCGTATTAACTGCAGCGAAACTTTCTACATCCCATTAGTAATGGAAGAGACTAAAGAATTTAACAACAGTTAACAGCAGCATGGGGAGTCATATTAGGACAGTCCAAAAGGTGGTTTGCATCTTTTAAACCAAAGATTTAAAAAACAAAAATAAAAATAAAAAATAAAGAGCACCGCAGGACTCTTCTTGGTCTGTAGCCTATCCTCTTAGGACAAGAAGACAAACCATTTACAGAATATACCACATTTAAGATGGTCCTTAAGGCACTGTTCGCAACACTTACAGAAAACAACATGGCGCAAACAAAACGTTTTACAAAATATTAATCCAATCGGGAAATTCTAGTTGAATGGGAGTTTACACGAGATGTTATCTGCGTTTTTCCCCTTCCTTTGCAGGGCTTCTCTCATTCCATTCAACCTCACGTTCCATCCCAGGAAGCGTTACGTCAGGACTGGATCCCCAATGCCGTGGTCTGGGTTGCAAGTGAAGGAGATGGTGATGGCATAGCGAGTGCCCCAGCGAACCTTTTCCACCCGATGAAGGTTCTCCGATCCAGAGGTGAAAAAGGAAACCCGGCCTGTAAAGACAAATTATTTAATCGGCGACATGGAGTTTACTATTCAGCTATCAGCTTTCTACACAATTTTGCGATTGTTGTCTCAGTCCGACTGTTCCCTAGCTACCCGAGAGCCCAGAGGTCATCACAAAGACAAACTGTTATGAGCTTATGCTGCACACTGACTGCTTTATGGACTGTTTAAAACACGCATTAATCTTCTGCACTACAAAGCTGGAGACATGATTTTACCATATCTCATAGTCTATAAGAGGTGAGAGGAATCCGAGAACATTCAAATCCAGTTCTAAGTTGCCTCAATAAAAAATAAAAAAAAAAGAGATAAGACACAACTCTAGTGGCTGAACTGCCAGCAAAGTATTTTGATTTCCTCCCTGCTGCCCTCCGAACCCAGGCTCTGATTTTAGACAAACGGAGGGAGTGCTACACAGGTGGCCAAAAATCTTAATTGGAAAAACACCCAGCAGGTTTACAAGCAGCTGGGGCAGCTACTCAGCTTTGTACTGCATATTTGCTATAGCTTTTTGTGCACAGTCAGATCACTCACTGTTCAGCCAAGTTTAAAAAGTTACGTATCTCTCTTGTACACAAATTTAATTTTCCTCAGAAAGAGCAATTCCAATGGCTGGGCTTGGAAATTGTTTTATAGAAGCAAACGCTTACTCCTGTGCGTCATCACTAAGTTTTCACCCCCTGCGTTGGGGTTCTGCTGGACTTGAGTGGCTTTAAGGGGAAAGCCGGTTACTCTGATGATGCCGTTTGAGGTATATGAGCAATCCACTTGATGAAACAGCAAAACGGGGCACTCTGGACACTTTCACATTATTTAACCGATTGAGAACATAGGAGTTTAATGTCTAGCAAGTAGCCCAGAACGGAAGCAACACTCCAGGACCGCTCAAGCTCTCCTGCAAAGCCACCAATACTCACCTGCGCAGCTGTTTTATCCAGATAGCATATGTTTTCCTACTCATGCAATTTTTCCAGTATTCAGATTAGATTAAAGTTTGTTATAAACTTATCTTGGGGAATTCAACTGACAATCTGACTCTGCCTGGCACACATTCATCATCAGGCAGAACGAAGCACCTGAATGCCCACTTCAGATGTGCACAATAACGTGGCAAACTATTCCAACAGTTACACGGTCTGCACTGCAGAAACGGGCACCAGCCACGTGGCAGGGTTTCTTTTCTACCTAAAAAAAAGTCCAAACAACCTAGAAGTTATTCTGCTTGTAAACTCTTAAGCAGCTCTCACGGGAGACGTGAACTAAACCCGACCGGCCTCATGGAGCTTGGTTCCCCTGCTAGTATCTGTGGTTTATTTCAGCAGCCCTTGTGCCCCTCGCACGTCGAGTTGCAGCTCACATTTACTCTTTCATAGGAGTCAGTCCTAACTGCCAAGCAGAACCTTTAAGTCATATATCACGTTCTTCTCTGCCTGTGGCTGTACATCAACAGGGGGTAAAGCTATATATCACGTAGATTCATTTATATGAACAGTTCATATACACTTTGGTGTCCTGCGCTTATGGTTGAAAGACTGTAAACGAAGGCAATGTACTCCTAGGAGCGTTATAATGAACAGAGCTACCCTCTTAAGGCTTTCATACAAAGTCCATTTGTCCTGAAAATGTTATTTTTACTCTTATTTGCACATCATTCAAGTACTTCATTATCAATCCATCACCTACTCACCTAAAGCTTTGCCTTAAACTGATTTTCAAGCTTTTTTGTTTGATCTCTTATTAGAAGAAGTAGTAGTAATTCAAAGCAAGACAAGTTTCAGTGTATTGTTTAAGCCAGTTAATTAAACTGGATTCTTTGGCTATACAGAACGTGTTTTAATTTCTTTCTTTAACAAACACGCGTTGTCGTATACGTGGCATGTTATAACTACTTCTGCATCTCTTCCCTTATCTGCCAAGTGGAGTCTCCGAGTAGCTGAACAAAACTGCAGTCTGGTTCCCCGCCGCCAAACTATGAGCCACGTTAGCAAGCGTGAGACCAGATGCAACACGGGATCTGTTTAAGTTGTACGTTCAAACTGTTTAAAGTACACATTTTTTAATGTTACCTTCTGGCACAACGAACTGATGTATCTGCGATAGGATTTTGGGAACTGGGAATGGAGGGGAAGCCATGCATAAGGCAGGTCCGCTAAGCTCTCCAGACTATGCAAAATTATTAGAGCGAATTTGGAGCTTCATAATAGATTAGTGTTGCATTCCAAATGCCTAAGAATGCCTAAGCAACTATTCACTGTACATCAAAAATACGTAATATATGTACTTGCAGTTTCTCTACTGAAATGTTTTTAAATGACAAAAGCTCAGAGGAAAGCGTGCAAAATTCTCATTCTGCTTCTTTTGTCCTTTTCTTTCATTATTTGAGTTGGCAATTGCCTCACATGGGTCTTTTCACTCTCTTCTTCCCTCCCACAATCTGCCTTTCTAGCCCACTTTTCTGCTCCATTAATGAAATTTTCTATTACTTCCTGGCACAGACATTTCAGTTACTGTTAAAATGCAGCATTTTTTGAGAGCACGAGCTGCTACTCAATACAACCTTATAAGATGATACTATCTAACAAGAAGAGAAAGTTATGGTAGCCCTGATCCTTAGAGCATGAGCTTCGGGGGAGCAGAAGAAACAGGGAAGGGATTGTCTGCTGCTTTGAGCTCCAGCTTTCTAAGCTTTGAGAAAGAGGCCAGTCTCTGCGCAGGGTCTTGGAGGACGGAGACTGGGCTGGAGGTACCCTGGGGTTAGGACTTCACGTCCAGGAACATCGCTCTCTTGCGGCTTCTCTCACAAGCCGAACCCTCCCAGGCCAAGGGTGAAAACAAAGGCTGTTTTTTTCCCCAGTCGAGATAAATCTAGAGTATTTTCCCAATCACTGCAAGATGCAGAAAACTCCATCACTTCTTTAGTTTCACCATGCTCTGACCCGTACCTCAACCTCAGGGGAGGGTTTTGGCTCCCTGGAAGGGAAGTGTGGGCTGCCCTCCCACATCTTCCATCTCTGTCTCTGTCACCCCACCTTCCGTTCCAGGACACCGAATTTGGGCAAGGCAAACTGCAGAGATTAGTGGAGCCGGGTACAGAGCACGCAGCGCTCTTTACCCTCCCACAGACTTCATCTGAGGCAAAGATACATTTTGAAAGTGCTTCCGCCAGAGATCTTTCCGCTTTTCTGCCCACAAGAACGCACTTAAAACCTGTACGAAGATTAGTCAAAAGTTTTACCCATAGGTGCTGCCGCCTCTCAGTCCCTTGGTGCCCCTTGAACACCCACGTACGGTTTTCTTAAACTTCTCAAGAGCGCAAAGGATAAATGGTATTGGAGACGAGAAAACTACTGTCACGGGAAAATCACGTGCAAACTCATTTAAATAAACCAGTCTCACACTGGTCTAGGATAAGGAACTGCCAACGCGATCAGCGCCGCAGCATCCGTCAAAACTGGGTCCGGGCATCGGTGCCGCTGACAGGAACCAGGCTCTTAAGCGCTGTCAGTCTGAGAAAAGCTTGTGGGACCACAAGCAGCAAAGGAAATACAGGGAGCAAGATCTTCATCATCACGCGACAGGTAACCGCTTATTCTCCTGGGGTTTTTTGAGAATCAGTTTTTGCACTGATCCACAGGAATCATTATTTATAAAGATATATGAGTGCCAGTCACCAGGTTCACTGCTATGAATTTTATGCAGTCCTAATTTTGACGAAGCAGCACTGCTACTTTCAGGAATAACACTTAGCAAAGGGCAGAAGCAAAGGACCCTTCATTATATGCAGCAATCACACCCCATTTCATTGCTCAGACAAAATCCCTAGAGGAATACCTGTATACGCTATAAGGCTTTGCTTTTCCCTGCCTTTGCCTTCCCAGATTTTAATCACACAGGTAATTGCCCCCTAGCAATGAATGCGTTTGGATTTATTCAGAAGACACAACCACTGCAAGAAGCAGCATACAGAGGGAAAGAATTATCCCTTCAGCTACGTATGACGGTAAAAGCATCAGTATTCCCATCAGGCTTGCTCTCAAGAGACAAGCCAGGCTGAATTTTAATGTTAGGTGGCACTTCCATAAACAAATTGCCTACAATTTGCTACCTAAGCTCAATATTGGGAGGCAATACAGACTGGAGGAATATACAAAGGGAACATTTAATTGTCAATGACAACTATGTCCTCGACACGTACTGCGACTTCAGTGCAACCACTTCATCTCTCATTTGTTTTCTTGTCTCTAAGATGACAATAATATGGACCCATCCCAATGGGGTCACTGTGCAAATTAATTAGTAAACACCAGTACAGTACTTTGCAGTTAATTCACGTTCAGTTGTTTTATGAATACGATAAGAAGCATCCTCTGTTCTTTTTATTCTCACAACAGAAAAAAATAGTAAGGGATAACAAGTTTAAATTATAACAAGCTGTAGAGAATACATAAAAGGACTTTGAGAGCTTTGCACTGTTAAGATACCACATGGCTTCCAAGGAAGCATTATTGC